CATCTTGTCTCAGCCAACTACTTGGGATCAATTATGCCAGTTATCAATAGCCATATTTTTCTGTTGCATTGCAAGTCATTGGATTAATCACATTACCACTTTGATGCATGTTTCTTTTTTTTTCTTCTTATTCTCTGAGGGCTTTCATAAGCAAATGGTATTATATCCGATTTAGGACAATTATATGCCATCTGCTAGGCTATGTTTGATTTGATATAAAGGAGTAGAAAACCAGAGGGCAGGTAACAAAATCCCTGATTGGAATGTGTGTTGGTGACGTGGGCTGCCTTTAATAAAGGATCATTCCCTTTAATGGGGTAAGTGAGATAGGACGTGGACCATGTAACTCATTTGATTTCATTCGGTGTTGTCTCTCAGTTTCCTATTTGGCCACTCAAACCATCAATTTCATTCAAAAGGATGGACTGTCCTGACTCACCTTATATTATTTTCTCTTGGCAAGTTTGAGGCCATTGTCTAATAAACAAAACATTCCATTGAGGTCATGATCATAACTAATCAAAATCTTCAAATGGCCGGCACCAATGGAATAAGGGAATAAAAAATCCCCCATGATGTAAAGCCACCATAATACGTTTTCATTAACAATTAATTAACCCGTAAACAATTTAATAATATCGATGTATTCTTAGGAAGCATAAGATGATACTTAATAATCACCTAATCCAAGGTTTAAAATATCGATACATATCGGCGGATATATATTGTATCAGGAGCTTCTCGATACGTTTCTATAGAAGATGTATCGGGGTTTTGACTGGTTCAGAGGGTGAACAGACCTTAAACTGGTCCCTCTGAATTAGATTTAAAGAAAAAAATTACCAATACTGCTTGATACGTTTCTACTGACGTATAAGTTATATTGATATTTTGAACCTTGACCTAATATGATAGCATCTCCTCCAACGGAATATTAATTGACAAAACTAACTCATAATATTGTTAATTGATTAAAAATTGTTATTCATTTTCAATTTATAGGGTGGGACCTAGGCTATGTTTGGTGACATTGTTGCTTATATCTCAAACATTTTGGATGGATATAATACAAATTAGTGAGATATATATCAGATATGTATCGTCACAGGTCACAACACACATAAGAATCACTTCAACTAAAATGATTAGATTTATTCCCCTCACACAAGCAAGAATATTATTTTTAAGCTGTCTATTTCAATTATAAACAGCTTCAAATAACAGTTATATGCAAATTTGCATCGATCAACCCAAACACTGGTTGTTTAAACAATCCAAATCCAGAACCTTGCTGGCCGAGCATGGCTATTGGAGTCTGACTTGCAATGAGCCCCGTACAATTGCAATTTTTAGATAATTCTACTTGACAACTTTAGATGTGTTTGGAATGCTTTTAAATAATTGATTCCGGTGATTTTTTGGGGTTTTTATTGTTCAGTCCACCCTCAGAATTCCTAGTTCCACTGTACAGGTGGAGTAGGTGCCACCTCGGAATTGATGCCAATTCACGGGTGGATATGGGTGTTATAGGTGGAGCTGTTTATAATTTTGAATTGTTGTAGGTTTGCAGTCCAAATTAGAATTCTGAGGTGGAATGCAGTCTAAAAATCTCTTTTTTTGAAAAAGTACGGACAGACTCAATGCACATTTCTGAATTCCACTACAGACCTATAAGCATTCAAAATGTCAAAAACCCCCACTCTAGACACCAATGCCCGCCTGTAAATTAGCATCAATTCCAAGCTAGCACCTACCCCAACTGTACTTTGGGCCTAAAAATTCTGATCCTGTGCTGAACTGTCATTCTCCCTTTTTTTGGATAAGGTTATTTTTATGAATCGCTTTTTTAGTTTGGATGCATGAAATTTGTTTGAATTGACTCTTTTTGGATTCAAAGTTTATTCAAAAAATTGGTAATTTAGAGCAAAAGAAAAAGTTTAAAAATTAGTTTTAGCTTGAAACTCATTTGTCAAATAAGGATTCTTAGAAACAAAATTTTAACCAAGTATAGAAGAATCTAATCCTAATCTTTTATACCAAATAGACCTATTCATGGGCCGGGCTTTCACTCTTCATTAACAGATCCTTTTCAAGCCTAAGCCCAAGCTTGAAGCCTGAAGCTCAACTTGTTGCCATTGAACACAAACACACACACATGACTTGGTCAGGCTTGTTGCCGCTACTGAACAGAGAGAAGGCATCGTTGAGGTGTTAGTGTGAGTTTGCCCTTGGAGATTGTTGGAGAAAAAAATGGTTGAGAGGGAACAACTGGATAGGGAATTGAGAACTGCTAGTTCGTTCCGCCAAAGATCGCTACCTCGTCGAAAAAGGAAATGCTTGAGAAGAAGAACATATGTTGATCCATTGGTCGTTGCTATGTTGAGCTCTAACCTCTAAGAGACGAGTTTCTTAAGAAAACAATGAAGAAATTGAGAGAGGAAAGGGGAATGTTGGACTCGAGTAGTGTTTTGGGACTTGGGAGTTTAGAAACTAGAAAGAAAAAAAAAACATGTATATATTATAATAAATATTATATTTTTGACAAATCCCAAGCCGGACTTGAAAATACAATTGGACTTGGTGTTTTGGGCCCGAGGTCAAACTCGCAAGCTTAACTACATGTCCAAACTCAATCGGGGAGTGGGTTGTGCTGTCAAACTACCTGGCCCATGAACAGGTCTATTACCAAAACAACTAAGGTAGTTCTTTTAAGAGCTAGGACCACACATTAAGTGGTTTTGTGTGTTTGGGACGAACCAGTCCCTAATAATTTTTTGTAATGCCTAAAATACCCCCACGATGGTTATACCTCCTTCTCCATTCATTCAAACATCAAACCTAGGTAGCGGCGCACTAGTTGCAGGTCCACCAGCGGCGATCGACGTTGAGGAAAAGTGGCCGGCGGTCATGTTGTTTGACCACTTTCTTCTATTTTCTGAAGTAATTTTTTCTCATTTCAATATTTTTTTTGGTTTTTTTCCAACTTGAACTCCCTATTCTTCGCAAATCTGCACTTGAACTCCCCTGTTCGAGTTTCAAAATAAAAGTTGCCATTGTTGGTATGGTTGACGAAGCCGACATGTTGAAAAGAGGTGGTGCATTGATTCCGCTGGTGGGTGTGAAGACAAAGACCATGCCGTGGCCAGAGAAGATTTGGAATGAGTAAAGCTTTTGGCCTTTGGGTTACAAGACACCCTTTTTATGGATGGGTTTCTTTTCAAAGGGTGAATCCATTAATTTGCTCGACTCAGATTGCCATTTTGAAGGGAAAATCATTTCCTTCCCAAAGTCCCCCAAAGGTCAATTTTTCATCTCTTCCCTTATCTCTGATCCACCCACCCACCCTAGAGAATCAAGAAAATTGGTAGAAATGGCGAGTTTTGGCGATAGAAATCCCCTAGTCACCGAAGAAACTCCATCTGCATCAACATCATTTACCTTTTTTGCCTGTACGTCAAAGCGTTAGCAAGCTATGCTTCTCTTTGTGCAATAGGAGATGGGGCTCCAATACCAACATTAGGAAATGGGGAAATGGATAGGGACAACAATGGGTTTCTAGATTTTGACGAAGCCATTGTCTTCTTTTACATCTTAACAACAAGAATAGTAATCTGTGGTGGGTGAAGAATATTGATAAAGGAAATTTACTTTACATGCTTGGAATGCTTCTGCGACAAAAGTATAGATGTCTATAATCTTTGCTACAATTGCTACGCTTCTAGGAGAGGCCGCCGTGGAAGCCACCAAAAATTTGTCGATAATTTTGTGGCGTTGCAACTCTTGAGAATTAAAATAGAAAAGAAAAACTCTACCGAGGTAAGCCCAAAATATTTTAGCCTATTTATGTTCTGTTTGTTAATTAATGCTTGGTCTTTGTAATGCTTTCATGTTTGCTTCACTTTTCTTGCAGTTGCGGATCTATGCACTCGAAAAAAGGGTAGTTGTAGTTGCTGCAAAATCTGTTGTCTGTCATGTTGTAATTCATATTACAATTCATGGTTCTGGGTTTTAGCACTAGGAGTTGGACCTTGTAAGATATCAGTTGGAAGCAACCGAATCCTCCTAGGCATGAAGTTGGAGGCAAACTAGATGCTAAGATATCAAATGGACTAGCTGGGGATAAAGCTAGAAGACAACGAAAGGAGAGGGAGTCAAGAGAGACTTGGGAGGTGGAAATGGGAATCCGAGAATTTTGTAAAGGTTGTCAATCGGAGGAGTCTTTTTGTTGTCCAATCTACAGTTCTGGCAGTTTCGACAATTCTGGTGAAGAAAATGAGAGGGAGAGGGAGAGATCTGAATAATCTACAGTGGAAGGTAAAATTATCATTTGTATCAATATAAACACTTATGAGAAAAAGAGCTTACCAATAAGTACTTAAAAATATAATAAATGATTTGAAAAATGAATTACCAAACAATTTAGGTGATTGTTAAAATAAGTAGTTCTAATAAGTAACAAATACTTCTTTTTAACAAGTAATTAATCATCAAATAGGGAGTAAGTAACTATGGGGTCAATGTTTTTGCTCCACACTAGCCATAAATGAGTCCCAATATCTTTTAACACCAAAATCATTTAAAATTCTGCATCCCGTACCACTTTTATGGTGGCCCATAGTTGCTAAGATGTATAGTATAGGATCAACTTGATAGGGTGTTGGAACGTGTTTTGTTGAAGATATATAGGAAATCCCAACTCGTCCTAAATGATGGATTTTACAGCGAGTCAGCAAATCCACTCTGATTTTATAAAGCCACGTGGAGAATTGTAACGTGCTTAATATATTGTTTTGTTACTAGCAAATCCAGGAAGGATGAGAAGTCATTTAAGAGTATTTTTGTCTTTTCCTGAATACGGGTAAATTTGAATGGGCAAATTTGCCCTCGTGCAGTGTGAAGTGGAAAAAGATTATTTTAGAAGGTTAATTTTGTCAAATTGCAAGAATATAGAATCCAACGACATCTCTGTAAATTACGATGGAGTTGTTGGTCAAGAGAAATAAGAAAATGATTACATTGGGCTTCGGACAGTTTGGTGGGAACTGGAAAGCAAGTGAAGATGGCCAATAATAGGTCGTGTTTCTTCACAACTTATTTTTGTCATTTGTCACACTTATCAGTTTCGTTGGCCATTCTTCTTCCTTGAAGCCGATCTTTTGACGTACCGTCGTCGATGAAAGATCGCCGATTATTATTATAAAGCTGGTATACAGCAAGACCACATTTACTCTGCATTTTTATCCGTTTTTTTATTCTTGCATAAAAAAATCGAAGTCCTCTACTCCTCTTCTGTTTTTCGCATTTTGGATTTTGGTCCTGCTCCTCCTTTCTGACTCCGCAGAGCTCTCTCTCTCTCTCTCTCTCTGTCTCTGTCTCTCTCTCTCTCTCTCTCTCTCTCTGTTTCTGTCTGCACTAGAGAGCAAAAAAGAAAAAAAAACCCTAGCGAGCTCGCTTCCATGGAGGATTTTTCACGTTCTCTGCACAGGAGTCAAGCCTCTGTAACTCTCTCGAAGAAAGTTTCCAATGGAAATGGCTTCACTGCTAATACTGTCTACGATGACGTCTTTGGTGGTCCGCCCAAGTTTGGAGTTCCGACTTTCACGTCTCGGATAGAAGACTACAGCGAGATTTTCGGCAGTTTTCATTCTTCTCGTGGTTCTTCGATTCCGATTCTAGATCTTCCTGTTGTCGACGGAGGTGATATCTCCTTCGATGTTCGAAGCTCAAAGTTCGATTACTCGGAAATTTTTGGCGGGTTCGATTTTGTAGCTTTCGCTGATTCTTACGAGGAACTGTTTATGGAGCCAAAAGGAGACGAGAGTTCCTCTGAGGAGGTCTGGTATGTTCTTTTCTCCTCTGGGAGTTCTGGCTTTGCTTCATTTTCTTTTCTTTTCTTTCCTTTTTTTTTTTTTCTTTCCTGTTCTCTAAACTAGTTGATGAACTTTGGAGAAGAAATGTTTGTTCTTGGGCTTCTTTTCTGCGCCTTTATTTGTTGCTTGGTTGTTCTCGGTAGTTGGTGGAATTTCAAGTTGAACCGACTTCCGCGAAGAACAGTATTCATGCCTGGTAGACTGGTAGTTACAATTTGGGTCAGCCATTGGCTTCTAAACCAGTTAAACGATTAACATGAAAGCTTGTGGGACCATGGCCAACCATCATAGGTTTGATACTATATAGGACCGATTTAGTGAAGGAAAGACCATGGCTTTGTGGAGGAAATTTTGCTCCTTGGAAGTTTATTAACATGTGCCCGCGTTATGGAAAATGACACGCCAAGTGTGGTCAAGTAGGAAGCAATGATATGTTTTTTAGCTCTCTTGTTTTTCATTTACTTTATTTTTCTCGCTTTTTTTCTTTGTGTGTATATGTGTTGTGTTGGGGGAAGGGGACTCTGTTCTGTTTATGGAAACTGCTCTGCTCTCGTCTGGCACACTGAAAAACTGAAAGACAAAAAAGGTAAAAAGGATGAAGACTCTTGAATATCCTGGATTTTAACATGGTGCACAGTTATTTCCCTTCTGGTTGTGAAGAAAAAAACTTAACACAAACAAAGAATGTGTATACGAGATATTAATTTGGTGCATCCATGAAACAATATGGCTGAATTTGTATTCAAGGCTCCGAGGTGAAATATCTTCAGATTTAAGATATCACACGCTAGGGAGCATTGGAAAAGAAAACATCTAGCCAAATCTGAATTTCCACTCTAAAGATTAAGGCTCAGTTTGGAAAGAGTACAAATACAAATATATACAGTGCAAATACATACAAAATAATACAAAAAACATAGATTTGCACTCTACATATTTGCATTTGTACTCCTTCCAAACTGAGCCTTAGATATAAATCTACAATTTCATGCCCACAATTAGTTTTGATATTATTTACATCCAAAAACTAACTGTTATGTACACAACCTCAAGAATCATAGTGTATTTGCCTTATTAGAATAATATTAATATTTTCCTTAGTTAATATTAATATTTATGTTGTTATAAATATTAATATTAATATTTATTAACAATGGCCTAATTCCTAAGTAACATTAGACTTAGATTTATAAAATAGGAAATATCAAATGCCTGCACAATTACAATAAGAAACACTTATACCCTTTTTAACTCCTAATAAGAGTGCCATGGGCCCAACATGATGAATTTTGTACTTTTTGTTGCTGCTTCCCAAGGGGTTATTGCTTCGTGTAATGGTAAAATATTGGGCTAACAAGGATGGGAATATGGGTTCAAGTCTGAGAGTGGCCAATTGCTCAGAAAAATGCAAAAAGTAGGTCCATATTCAGTCCACCTCTCCCAAGACACTAGATAGATGGGCCCAACATGGGGAATGGCCTTCTTTGTTTCTGCTGCCATTTTCATTGTTTTCAGCTTCCATGTGCAAGCAGCATGGTGTATACAAGATATGCTATGCATAGGAGTTGGCGAACCTTAAGATTTGTAAACTTCATTACCTAATCTGTACTCTATAGTTATTTTTTTTGATAAATATCTGTACTCTATAATTGCCTTATATTTGTTCTTCTTTGATTATTTTAACTAAAATTCTTTTTTGTCATCTGTCAAAAATTGATAAAAAAGAAAGATTCCTAAGGATATGGTGTCTCCTACTAATGCTCTTCACTAGCCATTCATGGACTAGGAGTTTCATATCACTTGCAATCACCCAATGCTGCCCAAAAACCTTAATGAAATATATTTGTGCCTTTATGGTGTGGTCAAATTGTAGATATGCCTAGAAATCATACTTTAGATGACCCTGATGATATGGTGGAGAAACAGTACTTCATTCCTGAAAAAAACAACTTTAACTTATTATTGTTTTCTGTGTAAAATGGTAAAAGGTTACATTTGTATGCTTCTGTTGAATATCTTACTTTTGGTTCCTAATTTATTTTTTCTTTTATTATCATTATTTTATGTTTTTATTGATAAAGTGGAGTATATCTATTTGTTTTCTCAAAAAAAGTATATCTATTTGGAAAAAGAAGGAAAAATAGAATAAATGGATATACAGCTGCAGAGAAGCTTTATAGTGATACCAAACAAAATTTCAATTAAATCAAAATACATAAGAAAGAGTCTGCACTCACCCTTTTGTGAAAATGTCCACATTTCATTAGTCAGCTTAGGAACCGGGACAATTGTCTTTTTAACAGGCAAATTCCTGAATATTGTATACAATGCGAAGAAGTTTCCAAGAGGTTGTTCAAGTAATAGCATTTGTGGAGTCATCTTTGTTAACAACATTAGCTTTCCTAAGCCAGTTAATTTTCAATTTTAAAGTCTTGAAGCAGCATACATGCCTCTGCTGTATTATCCCCCAAAGATAAGAATTAGCCTATCTCTGATCATCCACTGAATTATCACTCAGCCTCAAGGTCACTGGTTTTATATCACTATTATTTTTCTTTTTGTTAATTTTCCCAGGTCCTTTATGATACATTGATATCAAGGATCCTTTTCTTTTTCTTTTTCCTTTTTTTTAGAATATTTTGGATTTAATGTTTGATCTAACATTGTTTTTCCCCATTTCCATTGCTTGTGTAGGACACCGGCTGAAACAGGGTCTCCTTCAGAAGGGTCAAATGGAGATATTTCTTGTTCAGAAAACAATGAAGTTTTGTCAAATGGAACCTTTAATCACTCATTTAATTGTGTGAAGCAGTTAGATGTTTCATTTCATAAAGCTAATCAGAAAAACGAAGATGGGACAAGTGGGACAGCAGACACAACCCAACTCCCAGATGTTCCTGGGTTTACATATGTAGTTGATGAAAGTGCCCATTTGCATGGATCTGACAGTGAGAAACCACCATCCCGGGCAAGTGATGATCTCAGTTTCAACTTGGATGTCAGTGCAGGAATACTGGAAAGAAAAAGTTTGAGGAAAACCATGTCACAGCCCACTACATATAGTATTGAACCAATGACGTGTCTGAATGACTTCAAACCTCAACAAGGATCTGGCAGGAACAGGTCTAATCCTAATGAGGTGTTTTTAACTGTCTCTGAAATCAACCTTAGGACACAGCCCTCCCACGTACCACCACCATCAAGACCACCACCTAAATTGGCTAACAAGATGCCACCCAACCTTAAAACTTCTGAAAATTGTGATCTTGAAGGCGCTGCTGGCAACAGCTCACTACATTTCTTTAATGTAGAGGAAGAAGTGAGTTCAGCAGCTGCAGCCTCTGCAGCTGCTATGAAAGAAGCAATGGAGAAAGCTCAAGCACGACTAAAAAGTGCAAAAGAATCAATGGAGAGAAAAAGGGATGGTCTTCAAGGGCGGATGAAGCTGGGGTTGAAAGATGACTTAAAGAATAAAGAAAAGAGAGAAGGTAAAGCTGCTCATGAGGCCCACATATTCAAAGAAGAGAAAACTCAGAAAAAATATGAAAGAGAACATGGTGGGATTAAAGGAGTTTCTAGGGAGGAAGGGCAAAAAGTCATGAGGGCCACCAAGGTAGCTCCTGATCTAGGAGAGAAGGGGAAAGTAAATCTACCTAAAGAATCTATAGAGCAAAAGTACATGAAGGAATCAAGATCAATTCCAGGATCTAGCAATCAGAAAGATGGAACAGGTAGATGGAAAGAAGAGAAACAATTCTATGAATTTGTAACAACAGATAACTTGAGATTAGCTTCTGAAGCAGATTGGGGAGCTCAAGAACAGGGGCAAAGTAATAGGAAGATGAAAACAGCTAAGGAGGTATGCAGACAGGATGACCATGAGAAGCAACTAAAGGAGGCTCAAAAGATTTGTGAATGGGAAGGAAATGAGAAGGAACATAAAGAGGTTCTTGAGCAGGAAAGAAGTGAAAAAAACCTAAAAGAAATTCTTGAGAAGGAAGGATGCGAGAAGAACCAAAAACAAGTTCATGTGCAGGAAGAACTTGAGAGGACGATAAAAGAAGCTTGTGAGATGGAAGAAAATGAGAAAAGACTGAAAGAGGCTCATGGACAAGAAGAAAATAAGAAGAAACAGTATGAGGCTCGTGAGAGGGAAGAAAACGAAAGGAGATTGATAGAGGCTTGTGAGAAGGAGGATCTTGAGAATAGATTGAAAGAGGCTTGGGAGAGAGAGGAAAATGAGAGGAGATTGAAAGAGGCTAAAGAGAGAGAAGAAAATAAAAAGAAATTGGAGGAGGCTCGTGAGAGGGAAGAAAATGAAAAGAAATTGGAGGAGGCTTTTGAGAGGGAAGAAAATGAGAGGAGAGTAAGAGAGACTCTTAAGAGAGAAGAGAATGAAAAGAGGTTGAGAGAGGCTCATGAAAGAGATGAAAAGGAAAGGAAAATGCAAGAGGCTCATCAAAGAGAAGAAAAGGAGATGATGAGCTTGAAAGATGCCTGTGGAAGTGAAGAAAATGAGAAGAAAATGGAAGAGGCTCATAGGAGGGAGGAAAATGAAAGGACAGTGAAAGGGGCTTGTAGGGGGGAAGAAAATGAGAGGAAATTGGAAGAAACCTTTGAAAGGGAAGAACAAGAGAGAAGATTGAAAGAGGCTCTTGAGAAGGAAGAAAATGAGAGGAGATTGAAAGAGGCTCTTGAGGAGGAAGAAAATGAGAGGAAATTGAAAGAAGCTTGTGAGAGGGAAGAAAATGAGAGGAAAATGGAGGAAGCCTGTGAATGGGAAGAAAGAGAGAGGGGATTGAAAGAGGCTCTTGAGAGGGAAGAAAACGAGAAGAGATTGAAAGAGAGTCATGAGAGGGAAGACAATGAAAGGAGATTAAAAGAGGCTTTTGAAAGGGAAAAAAGTGAAAGGAGATTGAAAGAGACTTGTGAACAGGAAGAAATTGAAAAGAGACCGAAAGAGGCTCGTAACAAGGTAGAAAATGAAAAGAGACGGAGAGAGGGTTGTGTGCTGGATGAAGATGAAAAGAGGCAGAAGGAATCTTCTGAGCAAGTAGAAAATGAAAGAAGACAAAATAATTCTTGCGAGTGGGAAGAAAATGAGAAGAAACTAAAAGCTGGTGAGAAAGCTCATAAACACAAGGAGATGAATCAGAAGGCAGTGAGTGGGATTTCTAATCCTGATGGCATAGAAACAAATTTAGAGGCAACCCAAGAAACCTGCAGATATGAAATGAGTAGGAAGTTGGAAGCAGATAAAGAGGAAGTCATAAAAGATTCAGCTAGAGATGCTTGCGGACATGAAAAGAAGGGGAAGGAATGGGCAGCAACTCCTATGGCAAATGGACAAGATGAAAAGGTAAGGTTGAAAGGATCTCACATAACTGAATCTGCCAATGCACATGAAATAAATCAAAACAAAATGGAGGATGCCATAGAGCCCCTTCAGTTAGATGATAATGAGAAGAAATTTGGATCATCTGAAGAGGATGTTGGTCAAGATCAAATTGAGAAATATAATAAAGCATCTCAGACTGCCAGTGCACATGAAGCAAATAGAAACATGATAAAAGATACAACATGGGTCTTTCCACTAGATGATAATGAGAAGAAATCACGAGCATGTGAAGCAGATGTTGGTCAAGATAAAAAAGAGGAATCTAACAGAAAATATCAGGTTGACTGTATTCAGGAAAACTTTGAGAGAAAAGAAAGACTTGCTCAGACAGTCAATGAGTGGGATGAAAATAGGAGAAGTGTTTTAGAAGAGAAAGAAAACATGCCAAGAGTAGCTCAGGAAGCTAATACAAGCTATGCTGCAGAGAAAAGGAAGTGCTATAGTGAGATCATTACAATAGAAACAAAGGAGAAAGAAGATAAGATGCAAACAGAAATAGATCAGGAAAAAGAGCAACTAAGAAAAATAGAAGAAGAGAGGGAGAGGGAAAGAGAAAGAGAAAAAGATAGGATGGCTGTTGAAAGAGCAACCCGTGAAGCTCGTGAAAGGGCATTTGCTGATGCTCGTGAAAGAGCAGAAAGGGCTGCCGTGGAGAGAGCAACAGCTGAAGCTCGGCAAAGAGCAATGGCAGAGGCTCGAGAAAGACTAGAGAAGGCTTCTGCAGAGGCTCGGGAGAGGTCATTAGCTGAGAAGGCTTCCATGGAAGCCAAACTTAGGTTAGAGCGTGCTGCAGTGGAGAGAGCAACTGCAGAGGCTCGGGAACGTGCTGCTGAGAAAGCAATGGCTGAGAGAGCTGCTATGGAGGCAAGAGAACGCATGGAACGATCTGCTTCTGATAAGTTTTCTACTACCCCGACAGATGGTGGGATAAAGCAAAGTACTTCTTCCTCTGTGAGTATGATTAGTTTTTAGTTATCTAGTACCATTCTCTACTTTTATTCGAGGTGCATATTTTTCAGCTGCATGGTGACTATATGTCCAAATGCAGGAACTGCGGGACCCACAATTTCAAAGCTCAAGTTCCTTCAGTAGTTCAAGATATCCAAATTTATCAAATCATGATGGTACATAACTGTATATATACATACATTCAGACACATACACAGATATATAGATTTTTTTTTTTTTTTGCAGAATGTTGCATCCATGATTTGATGTCCATTTAGAAAATTTTGCTGCATTTCCTTTTTAGGTTAATATAAAGTTCTAAACTATGTTTCTGTTCTACTATGAAGCTTCCCATGCAGCTGAGAAATTTCAAGGAGCAGAAGTTGAATCAGCTCAGAGATGTAAAGCTAGGTTAGAAAGGCATCAACGGACAGTTGAACGTGCGGTATGTGCCATGCTTGTGTTTAGTTTGGGGGGGGGGAGGGGTGTGTTTGAACTGAAACAAGATAAATCCGTTCTTTTTTTTTTTTTTTCAATTTTCCTATTTCAGGCAAAAGCTCTAGCAGAGAAAAACATGCGCGACCTTCTCGCTCAGAGAGAGCAAGCAGAGAGACATGTAAATATTTGCTTATATAATCTAGAGATTTGCTTGCTTGTTTTTTATAGAAGACCAAATTGTTGAGAGGATGGTACTAAGCTTGGATTGTTGTACCTGATTCTTATTCTGGTTGCAGAGGCTAGCAGAAACCCTGGGTGCTGATGTCAAAAGGTGGTCCAATGGGAAAGAAGGGAATTTGCGTGCACTACTTTCTACACTGCAATATGTATATTCAATCTTTCAGCAACTCTATGCCTTTTATTTTGCATCCTGGTTTGATTAACTACTACTGTTAAGGCATTTTGTTCTTATCGGAATGTAAAATCATCTACTGGTATAATATTGCATTGTTACCTTCAATAAGTGATGCCCACACGTGTATTTAATCATCTACTGAGGACTTACATTGCTTTTCTGGGCCTTGTTGCCTACAGATTCCACCAGCTGAATCTTCTAATTACTCAGATGCATATTGCTTCATTGATTGCACATCCATTTCTTGATGAGCCGTTAGTGCAAACTTTAGGCTACAACCATTAAAAGTAGTCTAACATATGAATGGTCTGGATAATGAAAATAAGTGTCTTCAATACTGTATTACATGAATGATTCATCCTTAAGTATTATGTATTTTAGGCATAAGTGCATTGCTAAATGATGTGGTCAAATGGCCCTGTTATATTAATATCAAGAAACAATGAAAAATGCAATATTCCAAGTTTATTGGATAATAATAGTTCATCTGTTAAAAATGTATTTGATTATTATGTTACTAAAAAAGATTTTATCATCTTTCTGAATGGTTAAAAAGTATCTCACATGTTCTTAATTACCACAGATATTCTGTAATAGATTTTTGTTATGTTAATTGTGATGTTTAGCTGGATATTGCTCCTTTTTTGCCCCCTTCCTTCACTTTTGATTATCCTATGTCTTTTCACATTATTGTTCAATATGACTTTAATGAAAAGATGGCAAATCAGTCATTATTATTTTAAATTGATTTGATTTGCTGACAGATCCTTGGACCTGATAGTGGTTGGCAGCCGATTCCATTAACAGAAGTTATAACAGCTGCAGCGGTAAAGAAAGCTTACAGGAAAGCCACTCTTTGTGTTCATCCTGACAAGTTGCAGCAAAGGGGTGCAAGCATTCAGCAGAAGTACATATGCGAGAAGGTCTTTGATCTTCTAAAGGTGCATCACTGGCTTCCTATTTCACTAATCATGATTGCACTAAAAAATTATCTAGAAATAAATTCATCAGCACTGATAATGCATAGTCATGATATTGTAATCTGCATGGTTTTAAATTTATCTAGAGATGTAGATTTTCTTTTCTCTTATATTGCAAAAAAAAAAAATGGTGGCATAGTCCCAGTGTTGCCCTTATCTTTTGTTAAAATGTTGTCATTATCTTTTCCTTATGCCATTCAAGATCCGTGGACTTCCTATTGCCCTTGTGGCCTTATGTACTTCAATTTGCATCAAATTTTAAGGGTGCAACTTAGGTCGGTCCAACTTGAGCACACCTGTTTGCCAAAAAAAAAAAAAGACCCAATCCAACTTAGGTTCAGCATTTTATTTTTACTGATTTGAGGTTGGGGTTGAGCTGGATTGGCTTGGGGTCCTGGCAAGCTCTACCTAATTGTGTCTAAGGATGGTAACTTAACCATATATGTTTTTTGGTAAGACAAACTCCTAATGAGAAAGAATAGCTGACCATTCTACGGTGATAAATTTAATATACTGAATCGTATAGGTACTAATCTTTTGAAATAAGTTTCTTTTGACTATTAATCAGGGCCTTTTTGAAGTGAACCTTCTTTTCAAAAAGGAATTTGTTCAAATAAACACAGTAGTTGAGGCAATGCTTCATAATGCTTCTGGTATTCTGGGAAGAGAATATGTGCTAAATTGGAATGTTATCAAATGCTTTTTTTTTTTTTTTTGGTAGAATGTTATCAAATGCTGAGTGTCATATTTTCTTCAGAAGACCTGTTATCAAACTTTATTAAATCATGTTTTACTACTAGCAGCATTCTTTCTTTCTTTCTTTCTTTTTTTTTTTTTTTTTGACAAGGAAAGGGATACACGGCGCGGGGGTAGCTCTCCCCCAAAGATCACATACAAATATGGTAAAAATTCCAACCTATAACTGTCAGCATTCTATATAAAACTAGCCCAGATAAACCCCGATACAGATTGTCTTTAACCTGAGGAAGTCCTAGTTATTCTTGGGTTGGGTTTGGGTTAGACCTTGTTCACTTAGATTCAGGCTTGTCTTGTCCCAGAGTTTGACTGCCCAAGTTTCCCTTTTATCTGGCATGACCATTGTTTGTTTCATATGGAATTTTGAAAACCAAATTGGACATAGAACTCATAGTTCTCAAGGCACCAAGGCAAGGCTAGGGACAGGGGGGCACCTTGTCGCCTAGTCACCTAGGCGATGGATTCTTTTTAAGTAAAAAATATATATCCTAGGGTAGTTCCCTAGGTTCCATAACCATATTTCCTTAATAATTTATCCATAATTTCCATAAGAAAAGTATAAAGTTCATGTTAAAGGTATTGAAATCAACATATTCATGAGAAGAGAAGGAAGAAACAAAAAAAAATTCAAAAAATATAGGGGCTGAAGCCCTATTTTTGTTATAGGACAAAAAGAAAAGAAAAGGTGGAAGAAGAAATTAGACAAAATAAAAAACAATAAAAAGAAATTAGTATATAATTTCAAAAAATTAAAAATATAATGCCTATTTTATAATTATAATTTCAAAAAATTAAAAATATAAAAGTATTTTATTACACAACATACAAAACTGCTTGGTGTTCAAGTGAGGTGAGTCTCCAAGGGTGCCTTGTTGCCTAGGCATTGCCTTTGACAACTATGATAGAACTACTGGAGTTGGCAGCTGGAGATGTTCGCAGCGTAGCCATCTAGCCTTAGCTAATAAGGTGATTAAGTGAATGAGGACCAGTAAAAGAGTGGAGACATTTAGCCAAGAACCACTTCTGGATCACCTTTCACCTGTACAGTGAGAATAGTGGTATCAGAATCTTAAACCAAACCCAACTAGAAGTGGATACCGATTGCAATTGTCTGACATCATCATCAACTGAGAAAATGTCTGAACTCCTTGCTATTCGATGACATTATCTTATAGTTAAATAACTTACAAGTGATATCTCTCCTCTCAAATGCTCCATGACATCATTCCCTTGTGCAGAGCCACAAAATTTTCCTACTGGGTTATATTATGAATAGTATCCAGATTTGTGTTAGAGCATCTTAGCTTTTTATTTTTTTTATTGAGTAAAATATCTTACATGTGTTAAATCTTAACTGTCACATCTCCAGTAATCTTAGATTTGTCCATGATGAACGTGGACAAATCTCGGACTAGCAATGTTTTGATCTACTAATCTACTTTCTGTTTCTGTTTGGTTTTATCCAATATTCCTGCTTCTGTTTGGACTTTATATCCTGCACTCTTTAGTTTGTAACGGAAATCTTTTATGACCAAATAAAAAGTAGCAAATCTCCAAGTTTTTTATGGAGCCAAAGCGAGCAATATCGATAACTTAAACTGTGACACACTAGGGAAATCTTAATTATGTATATATGAGAATCAATCAATACCCATGCTTGGGATCTGCCCTAATCCTATATGATGATCCTGATTACATTCATTTAATAATTATCGGACTTCAACTTTTTTTATAAGCATGGACATGGACAAGAAGAAATCTAGAGATAAGTTGTACACTTTTTAGTTGCTTTTTTTGGATAAATTACACTCATTTTACTTGTTGAAAGTATGCTATTTTTGTGATGCGTTGATTGATAAATAAAAGTTTGATTAGCCAACCCAGCTGAAACCTCAACGGATAATTCTCTCAAGTTAGCTAGTTTTGGGTACACGGCTTTTTTTTTTTGGATAAATTACACTCATTTTACTTGTTGAAAGTATGCCATTTTTGTG